ACTATTTCATTAGTACAGTTCAAAGTCCGTAATACGGACCTCAAAGCCACAAACTTGTTTTTTTTTTTTTTTTTTTTTTTTTTTTGGATGCTTTACGTATGCGCGCTTCCGATAGTGAGGAAAGAGACAGAGAGGTTATTGAAAACGAAAAATTTTAATTGACAAGTTAGTCGGTATTCTTGACACGGCAATTACAGGACTTGAACAGTGGAACTTTGTAACTGAAAATGAAATTATGTCTGTTTATAAAATTAAAGAGTATTAGCACAAAAAACAAAACAACTTACATTGAAATGTTTAATAAAGTAAACAAATAAATATTAAACTTTTTTTGTTTTTGTTTGTAAATTTTGTTACTCTTTAGATCATAATTGCTCTTTATTTCATAAATTACGGTTTCATATTTTTAATTGTTTAATTTCTGCATGCCATCTTACCAGATTTAAATTGATGATCTATAATCCGGAATCACCAGAATCCCGACGATTCCGGATTACGGACTGTTTACTGTATTAACATTGTTTTTCTCAGTCATTTTTATTTGGTGACTGCAAGACTACGTAAAGTTACAAGTAGAGATTGCTCAAGTGTTGAAAGGGGGTTGTTAAATGGCATGTATAAGTAATCCTTACAGAAATGCTATATCGTCCTGTCTATAACATGTTTTCTCATTTCTTACGGAATCGTGTATCTTATCAGTCTTTAAATATATGCAATTTAATATATTTTTGCTGTAAATAGAACCTTTTAGACATTGAATACCTACTGAAAAAAAATCCCCCCCTTTTTTTTAAAAAATCTTTGTTCACTTTTTAATTAGCCTTAACTGTGTTCTTAGAAAAATACTCATTTGAAAATTTCTACAAATTTTTCATAATTTTTACTAAAATTGTTCCAAATTGTTCATTTTATGTGCAAATTCAGTTTTTTTGTCCTTCAAACTTTGCAATTTTTTTAGATGTGCTTTAAATGTGTCAGTTCAACAATTTACCACCCAATCTGTATGTTTTATGTGCATAGTACTGAATTCTCATTTAATCCCTCTACTTTCTTGAGGAAAGGGAGGGGACTGTTCTTTCTTTTTGGCTTGTATTGTATGTCACTGCATTAGGTAATTAATGAGCTTAAAAAATTGTGATTTGGTGATTTGCGATTTTTGCTTAGCAGATGGCATAAAGAATATTGCACCCTTTTTTTTATTTTAATTGGTACTATTCCATTATGAGAACCATAAAAAAATTGCCGCAAAAATGTATGCGCAAACGCGCCCACTTAAAATTGCGCCAAATCTAGCATATGAGTTGATTTCAAATTGTGTAAGTTTAGATAGTTCTAGATTTCTTAAGAAGCCATTGAAATACTATTTTTTTTTTTTTAATATATATATATATCCTATGGTTTTAACAATTTGGAAATTGCCCATGACGAAAAGTCTCCAATAAAATTTTTTCAAAGAAAAGGCATCATTCATTAAAAAAATTATGTTTGAACAACCAACGAGATGAAATTGTGCTTTACCGTTAACTTGTAGTGAAATAGAGATGCAGGAATCCATTCAGTTATGTTTGCCTTCTTTTATATAAATTATAATAATGATCTGAAATAGTTATTTATTCTTATGCTTCCATTCAGTTATGTTTAGCCTTTCTTATATAAATTATAATAATAAAAATTATTATATGAAATTAACCTTTCATCTAAATTAAAACAATAACATCTTAAATAGTTATTTACTATTATACTTCCCGTCTTGCTTTAGGGTTGCCACAATTATATCAACAATAATTTGGCGATTTTTACGTTCCTCAAAACGGAATAGTACCTTTTAATTTTGTTGTAAATTAATCAGGTATTTGGGAAGAAATAAAATGTTTTTCGAACTCACTTCTGGTAACCATAGAAATGACAAGACGTGTGCTTATCAACCAATGTCAATCACATGATATTATTTTATCCCATCATCCTCTTGTTCTTTAGTGTTTATTAAGTTTCGGTATGTGCTGGGGTTAACACTAATGTATCTATCGCTTATATAATTTTAGTTGCAATTCAATAAATATGTTATTAGTATTTAAATTTGCATCGTATTATTAATGGATATGTCCCTCGTATCATCAATAATAATTTCAGAGATTTAACCGCGCTGCTGAGTGCACAAAAGGTAAGTTGAATATGCTATCTTTATTCTTCACATGTGTCATGTGAAAATGTACTACTAGCCTGCAACTTAGAATATTTTTCTTGCTAGGAAAAGGGAAATTCGTTGCTGCTTCTTTTCAAAATGCAAGTCACTAGTGTCCTTGTAGGCTATGTAGTGATATTTTGTCATGTGTTTCATTTCAAACAAGTGGGCTTGTTGCATGGAAATACAGGAATACTAGTTTTTTTTTGTATTATCTTCTTATATTCCTTCCTAACACTCAAGCAGTAATCAGTTTCTCCTGGTTTGAATTCTCCATCTCCAGTTTTCTCTTTACAAAGGAGCTCATACTCTCCGTTGAGGTCTATAGGTTCAATTATAGCTGTTCGAAATTAAAGCTCAAAATGGCAGTATCAGGAAACATTCAATAAAAATGTACGTTTTTTCGCAAGAGTTTGTCAACATAAAAAGTTTGTAGGTTGCATACATTAATTTCGTGAAAGATGGTATAGCGTCATAGCAAAGCATGAAAAAATTTACATGTAGCATGTAGAGTTCGCCAGTGATATGTCAAGACTGAGCGAAGATGAAAAGTAGTATTTTGATCTATATGGTGCTTATTAACGAGTCAAGTGGATATGAGTGCATTATTTAAAACCATGTTAAAAGGCATTTGAAAAATTAACATAATAAAAGTTTGGTCAATCCTAAATCCGCCGAAAATTCGCCCTCCAAAATATAAATCCTATAGGTTCAGAAACTGCAACCTGGGAGTACGAATTATCGAAGAAAAACTAACTAGTAATAGTAAACGGGAAAATCAAATACTGACATCATGATAAAAGTTTTTTCTACATCTGCACGAGGTAAAAAAGGAGACGATTCACTCAACTCTTCAAGTCACGATTCACATCTTGTATTTTTGAGCTTTTTATTCACGAGATTGCTTAGTGCTGCTTTTTTTTTTTTTTTTTTTTTTTTTTGTTTATTGGGGTGGATAAATTATGAATAAATTTCAGCACTTTTAATACATTGACAAGTAAGAAAAGCACTCATGGTTTTACTGCTTGCAATGTTGAAAAACGTAAACATGTTGCATTGACGGTAATGCAAAAAGTGGAAATTCTGCAAAAGATGGAGGCAGGTGCTATTCCTCTGTTTTTAGCAGAATCGTATGGAATAGCGACACGGACTGTGTATGATATACGGAAAAATAACGAAAAGCTGTTGAAATTTTACAGCAAATGTGATTCTAACACCAGATTCCGAAACCGGAAATCTTTGCATGAGGCGAAATCGGCAAACCTTGATGCTGTTTTGTACAAGTAATTCCGGCAGAGGCGGAGTAATGGTGTAATTTCAGGACCGCTCCTGAGTGAAAAGGGGAAGCAGATTCATGCCGATTTAAAAAAGAGGAGCCATGCTGATTTAAAAATAGAGAAGCCTAATGTAAATGAATAATATAATATACTCAAGTTATATATGTAATAATAATTTAATGCAAATAATAAATTATTGTATATAATAATTAACTTAAATGCGTTTAATACGCCTTATTTATTTCACACTTTTAGTCTAAATATGATTTATCTTTTCTGTCCTGAAATCTGCAAAATCCTCAAATCCGCACAGCCTCTGGTCCCAGGCTTTGCTGATTTCTGAACTTCTACTGTATAATTATGTTGCTACTATTGTTTTCTTCCAGAACATACATATGTTATAATTTGAATAGTGCCTTGAACCACTGTGAATACTATTGAAGGATAATGAGCTTGATAATTTTCAGCTCTATAGAGAAGAAGTTGACAAAATATTACAACTAACTTGAAATGTGCAGTTCCGAGGTGATTTTGAACAATATAACTGTCATTTGGTTGCTTAGGGTCCAGAGAAATGATTTATGTATGAAGAGAAACCAACCAGTACATATGACATTTGATGCATTTGATGACAAATAAAGCATTTTTTTCCCTTAATTTGTCTAAGATATATATATATATATAATATTCTAAATATTGGAATACTGTGGTATAATAACTTCGCTATCAATATTTACTGCAAAATTGAGGCACTGAAATTTTTGAACATTTGAATAGAAATATTAAGAAACTAGGGATAAATACAGGCAAGAACTAAAAGTGTAAGAAAATTTGTGTGTTTAAAAGAAGCAGTTGATAAGGTATAAGAGCTGGTTACAAAACTTTGTAGTTTTTTTAAATGGCTGTTGCTTGGACAACAGTAGTAAATAATTATGTGATTGAAGATGCTTGATGTAACGCCATTTCAGTAACTGTGGAGTAGTGGATTGTACATCAGCATGACTTTGTAAATTCAGATGCTTTTGAAGATGAATGAGTCTGTAATAGTTTTAAAATTGCTTACACAGCAAGACTTCCCATTAAAATCAAATAAATGTTCCTTGGTTATGTCATCAGTGAGGTGATGACTTTCCATGCTCCTCTCATTCACCTGGCATTTTGAGTTTGCTGTTACATATTGTGTCTCAAGAGAAAGTGTCATTAAACCACAAATACCTGAGGAAATGAAATCTTGTATTCAGTCAGAAATTGTAGCACCATCTTAAAATATATAATGGACTGCACAATGAAGAAATTCCAAAGTCCCAAGAATGTATGCAAAAAAAGGAAAGAATTTAAGTTGACATTAATTTCTAAGACTAAATAGAAGTGAGAAGAGTACAAAAGGCATACATTGTTCCGTAGATCTGCTGAATACAGTCTGTGAATATGCAAAAATTGTCTCCATAGTATTTATTCAATTTTTATTTTTCAGAATTCATATATTTTCATATTTAAATTAAATTTCTTATTCTTTACACTTTTTTCTTTCTTTTTTTTAGCATCTTCAGAATGTTAAGCCATCTGGTAATATTGATATGACTGTAAATATTTTGACCATGGGTTATTGGCCAACGTATCAACCGATGGAAGTACTAATGTCATTAGATATGGTTCATTATCAAGAAATATTTAAAAAATTTTACTTAGGAAAACACAGTGGTAGAAAATTACAGTGGCAACCAAATCTAGGTCATTGTGTACTAAAAGCTGAATTTCCTGCAGTAAGTATTTAAATTTTTGTTATGGGAATGGTAATTAAACCTTTTTCTTCTGATGTTACTTCGATTAGAACTGTTTATTAGAATTTCTTAATTATCAACTGTTTATTAGAATATATTAATCTTTATTCATCTTTTACTAATCATAGAAAACTTATGAGCTGCATTAGGAAATAACAAATTTAAAGACCGGTATCAACTGTAAAATTAGTAAAATCCTCTTTTAGACTGGAATTAATTGAAAGAAGTTATACCTTTCAAAAATGTGATGCAGGTTTTACTGCCTCGTCACAAACCAATATGCAAATTATGCTTTATTAAAAACTTAATGATGGCCATAGATTTTAAGCTTAAAATAATAAAATAAAATAATAATTTTAAGCTTAATTTTAAGCTTTAAGGGTAGTGATTCTCAACCTTTACGAAGCTGCTGCACCCTCAGGAGTGAAAAATTATTTTTCAGTGCTTTCTCTTTGTGAAAATCCTGTAATTTAGGTATCTGAATTATAAAAGGCAAAAATTCTAAGTAACTTTTTTCAATAGATTTACGCACCTACTGAGAAAATGTGTATAAACTGAAACAGGAAAAGTTAGAAATGAGATAGATTTCATTGCAAATAATTTTAAACGCTAATCAGTATTCCTTTTTTTAAAATTAATGAAATGAAATGGGTAGTTAATGTGAAGAAATATGCACATGAGCAAGAAAAATCCTGTGGTGTAATGGCATCGTAACTTTGAAAGTATGTTTCATAATGATGGCTGGAAGGTCCGCATATTCCCCCATTTGCTTCATATTCTGATATATTAAAAAAATGTAGAAAATCGCCAGTTAGTATTTTTTTTTTTTTTTAATTCTTTTTTTGAAAATGGGCAAAGAGATTGTTCCTATAAAACCTATGAAAATTTCAAAACTGTATCTGATAAATTTTTAGATGTTGGCATTTAAAAAAAAGAGAAAATATAGTGTTTTTGAAAGTTCTCCAGAATTTCAGAAATAAAGTTATACAGTTAATTTAAAAGACATTTTTTCTCTGCTGTATCTGATGGTGCAAAAAGTAAACTTCTTATATTTTTAGTTTTTGCTCATTAAATGAAGATATATGCAGAAAAATCACTTAAACATTAAATTTTAAAAAATATATAGGAGATTTTGAAAAAAAATTGCTTCACCACATTGTATTGTCATCTACAAATAGTGAAGTACAAATTTTTAACCAGAGTAAAAACACCATGAGTGAACTTAATAAAAGCTTATAAAAAGGGGTGTGATAAAAGGGTATTTCTTATTTTGAAGTTAAAAATGACTAACTGTAGGCAAAAAAAGTAGCATTTATAAGGTAATAAAATTGAAGATATTTGTTAGTGATAGTTTTGCTGGTTTGGGTTAATAAGGCCTTTTGCATTTGAAGCAAATAATTAACTTTTGAATCCATTTAGTATTCCTGTTCTATAGATTGCAGAAACAGAAATTCTCATTATTTTTTTTAGAAGTTTTTTCCCCTCAAATTTATTATGTTATAGATTTGCCCATTTACAAAGTGCACATTTTTACAAAGAGCCTTTGTCATTGTAATAGCATTTGCATTTACAAATGTTTTGATTAAGTAAACTTTTTTGCAGTCTAAGCAAATTTGTTCAAGTCCCATAATTGTTGAGAATTCCCCCTAAACTGTCAGTCAAAATGTTTTCATTTTCAACAACTCTTGTCACTGTCTTCATAATCAGCAGTGAAATTTGAAACCTTACTACAGATTTCTGCACCTGTTCATTGATTGATGATTTGGGGTATTCTCATCACAATAGAAAACTTCTGTTACATTATCTTCATTTATTGTCACTTCTCCATATTTTTTTCACAAATTTCATTAAATAGAAAACTTTGCCTTTTACTTGATATCTGAAAATCTTTAAATTTGTGGCTATCTTCTTCTTCATCATCATCATCACCACCACAAAATATGAATGGTCATAAATTTTACCAAGCAACTTTTTAAATATGTGTGAGCACATACTGCCGTGACTTCGCAATGCTTCACACAGCAGATTTTATGTTAAATTTTTTTTTTTAATTTTATTGCCACTGTTCAGAAATGTTAGCGTAGATATTAAAAAGACTATTCTATATATGCATTTCAGCATAGTGTGCATAGTGCTCTAATATGCACAGTACTCTGGAAGAGGGATGTACAATTTGGAGGAAAGAATAAGACAGATGTTATCCTTTCCTAAAACTTTAACTTTAGTATGAGGCAAATAGTTGTCTTTAATCAGAGCAATTTTTGCATCTTCCAGCAAATTAACCAAATTTTTGCAAAGCCTTGGTAGGAAATTATTTTCAAACCAAAATTTCATTAATATTTGTTTACCCATGCTCTTTGACAGGGAAGTCTTAATTTCTTTAAATGTCTGATGTTGCGTATTCTTCCAATTATGAAAATTATCCATTTGTGCATTTCTGCAGCATTTGCACATGCCAAAGTCATTAGTCTCGCTTTGGAATCTTTGACACCAGGTTGACATCTTTTCTACAGATATCACCAAGATACTTCAGGTACATATTGGCAGAAAAGAATTATAAATTTGTTCTAACTATAATTGTTTGCTGTTAATGAATTTGATGAATACATCTGCTTCATTACGAGCTGAAGCTTTTCCATCAGAAAGTTTTAAGTGCCTTACACCATGAATGCCAATTTTTAGATTTACATGACTGACCTGTTGAATATGTTCGCTCAGTTTTTAAGTCTATTTCTTATGAAATATTTCGGCTTGAGAGATTAGCATTTGACCTGTCAAGGGCCTGTCTTCGTTGCAACATGGTCTCACTCATTCAGTCATCACTTTTAACATAACAAATTATTTTTCTGTTAGTAATTGCAAGTCAGGTGTCAAAATCCAGAAAATGTTTTTTTCTTTCATGGCTTACTCATTGGAATATTTTGAGATGAATATGCTTTCCTCCCCAGCAAATCCTTTGTTTGATTGACATATTGATCTGCAAAGTGAAATATATTTCACCTTGCAGATCTTGCCATAGCTCCAGAATTAGAAAACTCTTTTTGACATAATTAAAAATTCAAACATTGATTTTTATAAAAGAGCTGTAATAATAATAGCCTGCAGAAGAATAATCAGCTAGATAGAGAATTAAGGAAGAGTACAGTTTGCTACGTTAACTAAACCTATGTAAGTAAACTAAATCAGATTCTTACTCCCTTCCTGCTACCATATTGACAAAAGAAAACCAGTATGCACAACATCCCACTCCAAATGATATGTCTTGGGACTTATTGTTCAGTCAGTCATAAAATTGCTAATTGCCCTCCACACACACACAAAACCAAACTATGGTCATGGTTAACATTGTAATTGACCATAATGTGATTTCCTATCTAGCTGGTGTTTGACATGTGGTGATTTCAATTAGTCAGCAGAAAAATAGCTTTCACTTGCTGTTCTTGAGTATATTCTCCACTTCTAAACTTTGTAAGAGAGGAAATTCTCAAACGAAAAATTTGCTAGTTGTCTAGATATTGAATGTCTGGATTTTGGACTTTGTACTATATTGAACTTTCTGAAAATGTGGTGTGTTTATAATATTTATGTCTATTAGAAACAGTTCTTCGAACATGCAAGTAAGCTAAGGAGTAATATACAAGCTAGCTGAATTGTAAAGCATAATAACAAGATAGTAATTTGTGAAACTTGTATGCAAAAATTTAACTTTATACACATGTGTATACCCATGCACACACATAAAAATTTTGCAGATTAATTAAATGTCATATATAGATAAAGAATATGCGGAAAAGTGTACACTGCGCAAAAAAAAAAAATTGGGACAGTTCTATATCTCCTGTTCTACTGGGCTGATTTACAAAATTCAAATTGCATTTTTCATGTCTTGAAAGCGCAACTTAGGATATATATTAGATTTATATATAGCATTGTTCTAGCATAGGTATTTGGACACAAAATCGGTCCATATATGAAATAACATACCAATTGTTTTCCGTATTTCGATTTTATGACTCAAATTATGCCTAGATAATTAAATTTTGTAAAATTCGGTGCTAAATTTACGGAGAAATTCAAAAATTTATCTTGCTGCAATTTTTTTCAGTTAGCGACTCAGCAAATAACACTTAGCGAACTTCTTAATAAAATGGCAACGAATTTTCGTTTCCCTTCCATTACGCCGGAGCGAAAAAAAAGGCACCTCATTACTACCTTTTTACATTGTGTATAAGTGGGGGGAAAAGTCACATTGTTTCTACTTCCAAATAATTTTAGCAAAATGTTTAAACCGTATCGATGTTTTATCGCTTTCAAAAAATACGCAAAGTTTCAAAACGCTCCAATATATGAATTCATGTATATCTTCAGAAATTTTGAATAAAAAACTAATTTTTTGCAGGTATGCTTAGAAATGCATCTACTTAAAGATGATGGTAAAATCTTATAGATTTTAATTTAAAAATTTTTTGGAAAAATTTATTAGAGTTATTTTAAAATACAAATTTTAAAAAATATGGGTGAAATTTATGTGAAATGAACCTAAGTTTTGAAATGTGAAAAAAAGAATCAAATAAGTTTAATAAAAAAAAGAGAGATATATAAATATATACCAAACTCAACATTGAGGAGCTAAAATTTTACAAAACGTGTTAGTTTGGCATAATTTGAGTCGTAGAATTGAAATATGGAAAAAAATTGGTATGTTATTTCAGAAAAAGTTCGATTTTGTGTCAGAATACCTGTATTAGAACAATGCTATATATAAATCTAATACATAGCCTAAGTTGCACTTTCAAGACATGAAAAACGCCTGTTGAACTTTGTCAATTGGCCCAGTAGAACAGGAGATAGAGAACTGTCCACCCCCCTCTTCTTTTTTTTTTTTTTTTTTTTTTTTTTTTTTTTTTTTTTTGCACAGTGTACATTTATGCACTGGATGTTATAAAAAGGTGACCATAGGCTTTATTTCTTTAACACATCCACTACCATTCATAAGTTATCTCATAAGCTGAGGTAGGTCTCATAGATTGCTCTGCAGCAAGCATGTTAATTATTGTTTTTAAGTATGGGCTTTAAGATTCTTAAAATAAGGAAAATAATTAACAGAAAATGCTTCACCTTTGTAGGTTTTTAAGAATCTAAAATTGAAATTTAATATTTTATGAACTCTACATAGAAAAAAATCTCTGTGAATAAAATATCCTTCTTTATATTTTTGAATATTATGTTTTGGATTCTGATATTAAATATCTATTGTACTTTTAAGTGTTAAATCATGGAATACTGAAGGACTGGGAAAAAGTATGTTTTTATTAAACTGTCAATAAATTTTATCGTGCAATGTGTTTATTCATTTGTATTACTTCTTAAAGCTGGGCATTTTAAACAAATTTGTTGCTGGTAAGAGACATTCATTACTGTGTTATGATGTGTACAATTATCAGTAATGTGCAGTTTTTCCATTAAAAAAAAAGGTACCATTTCTGTACCTAGAAATGCAGAAATTATGCAGTAATTATAAGATGGTCTGATAAATTTTATTAACGTTTAATGATCTGAGGTTAAAATTATTGCATTGCAGTGTGTAGCTTTTTTAAAAAAATCAGTATTAAAAAATGTAAATGCACTTAGAAACCAAACTTTAAATCTATAATTTTTCCTCCCACAGGGAAATAAAGAGTTGCAAGTTTCATTATTTCAAGCATTAGTTCTACTGTTGTTTAATGAAAATCATAGTTATTCATATGAAGAAATAAAACAGTCAGTTGGAATCGGTAAGCTATTTGTCCATTTTATATTTTTAATGCTGTATCTGCTATTTAATAGGTGTTATTCAATTTTTAGTTTTTTAAGTTTAGAAAGTAAGAATTCTTGTGTGTATCTACAATATATATATATATATATATATATTCATATAATCTCTGTAAATCTAAGGTACAACAGATTTACTAACCTGTATGCCAGGGCTCGTACGGTCCTTAAAAGTCCTTAGATTTTTTTGGAATCGATTTTTGGTCCTTAAAAGTCCTTAATTTTGGCCAAAATCAGCAGAAGGTCCTTAATTTTAATCATCTGAAATTTCTGTCTCTTTTTACAATTGCCATTTTGAGTGTGAATTATCATTTTGGAGGAATATTTTTGGCGATTCACTGGCATATATGGTTATCTTTAAAATGGGTTTAAGGGTTATAATTTGTTTCTATTTCTAATATAATAGATGGGATACTCGAATTTCTAAGCAAGAAGTGAGGTATAAGCATTTCAAAATTCATTTTTTCTAATAAAAAGAGCTCTTAAACAACTTTTCGCTTTTGGAGATGTGAATTATTTTATTAAACAGTTCTAAATTTGATGACTTATCAACATTTTGGCAATTTTAAGATCAGTTTCTATAGAAAATTTTTAATTCCGAGATCTGAGAATTTTTGGACGATTTTTTTTAAAACATTTTAACATTGATAAATTTCATTAAAATAATGGTAATATATTGAAATTATATTTAAAAAATAACATTAAAATAAAACATTTTTAATTTTCGCTGTCATATTATAAAATTTCATTGGGGCAACTTATTATACAATATTTTGACTCTGAAAAATAAAGAAGGTATAATGCTATAAAGCACAATTTACAAAATGGCTCTTAGCAAAAGCAAAATTAACTATGTAATTAGTTAAAAATATGTTCTTTTTAATTTTTTCATAGTAAAAGTTTTTCCCATGTAATTGTCTCGAATATATGTATCAGTTTTCTCTATAAAATTAATTTTACGCTTTTCCCTCCCTCCCCCCCCCCCCCCCTTTTTTTTTTTTTTTTTTTTTTTCCAAAATATTTCTAGCTTTTTGCTGTTACTGAATTGGTAGGGATAATTTTTCTTTAGTATTTTAGACATTGCAGCTTGGAAAGTTTAGAAGAATTTGAAGGCAAGATTTATAGACCCACGATTCTAGAAGATTCGAGAAATATGTGACAAAATGAAAAATGTCTCCATGGTATCAACACGTAATGGATGTATTTTACTGAAAGTTTGCGATGAATTTCTTACTTTTTGGAGAACGTTTACAAGAACACTGAAAACATAATATTTGAATGTTTTACTCCTGATACTAGAATAATTTTCTTAACATGTTTATCTTCCCTTTATTTTCTCTACTTTTCTCTAGACACAAGCATGGAAAATATCAAAAATGCTTCTAATCTTGTCACATGGGCAGGCATTATAGAAAGGAATTTTTTTATGAATAAAGAAATTGAAAACTTACAATTTAAAAGATTCATCTAATATGTTTTAATGCATCATACACAGAGCTGGCACTAGGCGTTTTCCTACCTGATGCAATCTCTGTGGAGCCTAAATTCTGCTTCCAATGCCTGCTCTAAATTCTAAAAGTTTTGCCATTTCTAGATTTTGTTGTTCAGTGTGTCACTAAATTCCAAAAATTCTGCCGCAACGGCTCTGTAACTGGCCTGTATCATATATATTTCTTCTAAATGTTCATATTACTAAATAAATAAAATTAATTATTTTCTATACATTCTAAAAGGAAAAGGAAACGTGTTGAAGAAAGAAAATTATTCTTCAAAGAAAATGTGCCGTTATTATGTAAATTATCCAATTGTTTATGATTTCAGCTTTTACTATAATTTCCCATTTCTGTTTCCTCATATGATAGGGATACTGAGCCAGATTAAATTAAAATTGTATAATCTTTGACCAATGGCGTAGCTAGGGTGGGGCAAGGGGGGACATCTGTCCCCGGGCGCAGCATCCAAGGGGCGCCAAACTGATGCTACGAAATTTTTTAATGAAATTTTTTCCATTCTTGGCACACAGAAAGGGGCACAAATTCTTCAGATATCCCCGGGCGCTGGGAACTCTAGCTATGCCCCTGAATTTGACTGTTCTTGTTTAATTACGTCGCCGTGAGCTGTAAATGATTTTGTTAGCATCAGAACATGCCTTTGTATTCTAAGTTCTTTTTATATAAAAGGCTTATTTAAACCTTTGTCTGATATTTTAGTATTTTCAGACATAGTGATAGTTTGCTTCACATCAGTTGGGGGGGGGGGGGGTTTCGACTATTTAACTTTTACCAGATCAAGTAAACCCTCATAGGTACATTGTGGAGAGGTTGACAAGGTAGGTTGATGCAGAAACTAGCAAGAGCAATGGTTTGCATTTTGAGACGAATCTCTAATTGTTAGAAAAGATGCTTAGAGAAGGAAATGGATATAAACTAGTCAAAATGTTTGGGAAGGCTTCAAATTAAAATGACGGATAAATATTTTGTTGAGTGTTGTTACAAAACATAAATGTTTTGTAGCTTTTAATGTGTAATTATCCTAATATCGTTTAAGAATCAATGTTATAAATTACATGTATTTGAAACTGTGAAATTTGATTAGATTTTGATTTTAATAGGGCTTTTTTAACAAATTTATGTTAAAAAATAAAATTTAATTGTGGCCATGTAAATCTATAATGACTAAGGTTATCTAATTATCTAATTTAATTATTTCTAACTAACTGCTTACCCTTAAAAATTATCTCTATGTATTAAAGCAAGTTATTGCCTTTCATTAATACTCATTGTGGTCAAAAGATAAAACACAAAAACGTAAAAATTCAAATAAAACTTATTCTTTGCATCTAGTGAGACTTAAAATAATACAAAACAACTTATCACCTCTGGTGCTTTAATGGCTTATTGGAGCCTTAATGTATATTAACTGGGTTACAACCCCTGAAACTCTACACAAAGCTACGACACTAACTGCATCAAACGGAGCCCAACTAACTTTCAACACTTGTGAACCTACATCAGGCCTTTCAGGTTTGTTCTAATGAGCAGGTCTCTCTCACTCTAGACAAGCAGCAGCAGTAACATCATTTAGTCTTTTGTTCTGAATCATGCGGATTATGATCTTACTTCTCATTTTAACCTATGCCATTTCACATAAAATCTACCTGCTATTTACTGAACCTCTAGACTGACCAAGTACGTGACAAAATGAGACATTTAAAAAAATCAACATAAAGCTAACTGTGAGTAAAACATAAATGTCACTTATCTTCTTTTAAATATGTCCATCTGTTGTAAGTGTAAAATATTTAATGCTTCTTGATAAATTGCATAGAGTTTATTTTATTCTCAAACTTATTAATAATTATGTTAATTAATTCATATTTAGTAATAATGCAGGCTACTTAGAGATCTATTTTATTTTTAGGATGGTATTACAAAAGTGAAATTCAGGTGTAGATAATACTTTTAATTGAATTTTTTCAGTTCCCATTTGCTCATAGGTCCTTAATTTTTTTCATTAATGGTTCTTAAAAGTACTTAATTTTCGTGTGCAAAAATGTGTACGAACCCTGTATGCTCTTCCCAAATTCCATAAAAGGCCATTAAAATTCAGATTCATTGCAAATGGCACCAGTAATTTCAAAAAAAAAATCTAGACTATTTTTTACTTCAACGTTAAAAGGATCGTAAATTAATCTTTAATGCTTGTAACACTGAACATAATTATTGCTGGATCATCAATAATAACACTCCTATCATTAATATCGTTCAGTCTAACTGCTATGACTTTTATACCTCACTTCCATTAGAAGAAATCTATACTAGCCGCCTTGATTTGCCTAAAGTATTTCCTGCTATGCTCACAGTTGTAGTTTAATAGATGAAAAACCATCCTTAAATGCACTATTTTTAATAACAACATTAATTTTCAAATTCAGCTTTTTAGCAAGTCAGAGGTATCCCAGTGGGAGCGCACGCGAGTACATCTGTTTGTAGTGTCTTTTTATTCATTAAAGAATTTACCTTCCAAAAAAATTTACAACAATACGATTTAATATACTATTCCCATACTTACAGATATGTAGATGATCTTAGTACCTTTAATAATTTTATCAAGATTGAAAATTCAGAAAATAATCTAGAGTGCTTTACTCATAATAAAACTAATACTTCACAAAATGTAGTCAACTGTCTAGATCAGACATTGCCAAACTGTGCCTCTCCAACATCTGAACTGCAGTTCGCGAGCTATTTGTGATCCTTTGCCATCCGTAATGCAACTTGTTTTGAATTAACATAGTTTAATTTTTGAATACAAATGGAATTTTAAATAGAAATAATGCAGTACTATGTTTCTTTATTAACTGCTAATTTAATTTCTGATATTATGTATGTAAAAATTTAATAGATTTTCAAACTGTCCACTGCTGGATTATCATCGGAGTAACGAATACGTAAAATCACAAATAATTCCACTTCTTCCCAATAACTGGATGTTACTTTTTGAACAGGTAATGTTCATTGGAATATACTAATACAAAGTTAAACTAAAGCACAGTGCTAATATTTTTATTTAATTACACTCCCTAATATTTTTCTCTCAAATTAATTTTACTTCAGGCAGTATCTGCTTACATTTCTGTGTGATCCCATTGTTCACAACAGATGTGATCCACCTGGAAGATTTTCTGTTCATTGTAGGGTACTACTTTTAGTCAGTCCTTGAATGGTGTGAGTAGCTGCTGAAGAAACCTGCTATGCAGAATAGATAGTAAATAGGTGATAAAATAACTTGCAAATGAGGGCTTCTACTAGATGCCCGTTTTCGGTTGGAGGATTACGTTATTCAAAACTTGGTGGCTCTAGGTACACTGCACAAAAAACGAAGTGAGACAGTTCCATATCTCCCGTTCTACTGGGCCGATTGATGAAATTGAAATTGCGTTTATCATGCCTCGAAAGCACGA